TAAATTTTCAAGAAATCTCTGTAAGTGCTATATTGTGCAAGTATTCAGCTATTAGAAATAAATATTTTTCTATATAAGAAGTTAGCTATCAAATAAACAAAAACTTCTATTTTTTTTTTTTTAGTGTAAGTACGTGAGAGTATTTTATGAGAAATCTAAAAATATATCGTTGCTCGACGGCATTTGCGAGCTATTTTGTACTTTCAGTTTCGACACCTTGTTTTATGTTGTTTTATTATCTCCACTCTCTTTCTCTTTATTTGTCCATAAACTCTTTCGTTTATTTGTGTACAAATAAACAACGTTACAGATTTATTAATTGAAATGTAAAGACATTGAAAATTTAACAAATAATTATTATATTTTTTATATTATGGGGATATATATATATATATATATATATATATATATATATATATTATATATATATGTTACTTACATATTTATAAAGTAAAAAATACAAAACATTTTAAGTGCTTTATATATTGTAAATTATATGTATAGTAAAAATAAGTAATAAGAGTAATTTAAGTATTTTTTAATTGTTACACCGTAATATATTTAGAATATATATAGGAAATAGACGTAAACAAATGTTTCTTATCATTAATTAATTAATTATAATAAAGTACTTGGGCAAGCTCTTAAAAATGGCTATGTGTGTAATATAACTAATGTAATTTATAATACGGTCAGCACTTTGTAGCGAAACTAATAAAATGTGAAAGCTCACACCGTAATCACCAACTAAAACTAATTAGCGAGACTCGATCCATTCTCGCATCGTTGTCCGCTCGATCACGCCGGACGGGACAGTCCGAATCTATCGAAAAACCGGTATGAGTAAAACAAACAAACTAATTCATTTCGAACCATTAGGCACGAGATCCGACTGTTAATGTCTCAATTTAGAAACGAGCGTAAATCTTCAAAGGCGTGACAATTACTGTTACTTCCCGGCAATACAAACAAAAAGGTTTTCCGTCAATTATCGATAAATTAACCCGATTAAACACTCTGTAGCAGACGGCGCCGGAGCGTCTTATCTCTGGGCATGCCACGCTTTTAGGCAGGTACCAACTTAACAACACTCCAGGGCAGAAACATTAAGATTTTTATACAAATTTGCTTTTTATTATGTTCCATGGGAAACAACTCACTTTTAGTTTATTAACTAGCTTAAGATTTAAATTCAATTTGAATCAAAACTATTTAACTCTTAATAATAAATAATTTGTATTTTTGTAGAGTTAATTAATAAACGTAAAGTTTATTTTCATATCTTACTGAAATAGAAATTTAAGAAAAAAATATATGAAAGGATTGTACTCGCATTCGTGCGATCTAGATTTTAAAAGGTAACAAGTTTCTATTGAAATGGTTCTAACTTTTTAATAGAAGCGGAGCCTATTGTGACTAATCATGATTAAACGACTTTAGACAAATTGCATGACCGTGACTAGGCATGTAAGGACCAGGGTTCGATCCCAAATCATTAAAAGAACAATTATAGATATCGCATTCCCACCTGCAACCAGTTACGGATAATGATCTCTCTCTAAACAAATAGTGAAACTAACCATTGAATGATCTACACATTCATCGCTTGATGATTCAAATTAAAAAGCAATTAGTTCCTGCAAAATTTTTATATATGCTTTTTTATTTTACTAGCTGTTATTTATATTAATTTATATTATGTGTAGCTTTCTGTTAAATCTTCATCTATCAAATTGAATGACTAAATTTTATGCGCCGTTAACAATAGTTCAAGCGAATTGATAATACAACACCAAAGAGTTGAAATAAAGCTGCTCATTGTTGATCAAAACGTTTGATAGGCACCTTCTTGTTCCTAAACAAAAACTAATTTAACTGTTCACTTAAAGATCACAGCAGTTTTTTGCTCCCAAAAGAATAGTATGAACGAACTAGATTAACCATCGGCGACGCGTCGCTGAGCCCCTACAAAACGATAACAGATTTTCAACGGTTTGTTTTCTTTTTATGCTGCGCCCAATATAATTAAAGATCCACCGGTAAGTGATGACTGGTCACCATTAGACGTATTCTCAGCCATATCAAACATTTGACGGTGCGTCTGGTACAGAAGGCGGTGCCATCGAGACGTCATCTTAACGCGCCGATTACGAATCAAACAAATTGTGTGGAGGGCATCTTTTTGTGCTTTCGACATGCTAACAATGAACGAAGCCGCGCAACTGATCATTACCATTATACTGTATAAGGCTTTGTGTTTTGAGTAAATTATAACAGGTCCATTTTATTTGACACGCCAGCTCTGACTCCGCGCTTGCCAGTCCGCCTCACAATAGAGCTTCATTACGAACGGTGACCACATTAAATCTATCTTTACAAATAATCTCGTTGATTTTAAGCACCCATCCATTACAGTCATTATTGCTCATCTTTTAAACACATCATTGTTTTCATATGACAAACAATTGACAGGGTGGTTTATTTTTATACTACAAGGCATAATTTACTGTTACAAGATATGTATAGGAAAACGTCGCTTTGACTTGCTACACGTAAAGAGCGTTCATTAAGCAATTATATTGAATTATTGTTCCTGGATATAATTGTCCAATAAGAACGATCTAAATGATAGGTTTCAATTTTAATGGCTAAGTGGAATAGACCTACTTTATGTAAAATAGGAGTAAATTGCATTTGAGCATTGTTAAGTTAAAGTCAAGAATTATCAATGATACTTTGTTTCTATTTGTAGATTTATTTAAAAATGTATTTGAAAAATGTCAATATATATTTACTATGTGGTAGAAGTCATATTTATAAAATGCTGTATCCTTTTCATTTTTTTTTTTATTTATACAACTTAGAATGGCATACAAGCTGACGGCCCACCTGATTGAAAGTGGTAACCGTCGCCTATAGACATGAGCAGCAACATGTTCCATTATTTCTGTTATAAAAAAAAAGTTATCCAATTTTGAGGGGTCAATGTAGTCATGAATTGCTTAGCCCTTAAGTTAACATACTTTTTGCTTTTAATTAAGATCAATACTGCCAATGATCAATTAGAAGTACACAAGTTTTAAATCCAAGTCATATTAAATATTCACTTAAAGACTTAATCAAATGATACTACTAGCAGATGTACGAAAACAAGTTATTAGACCCCTGTTTACAGGCATACTCGTATATTTGACTTAGGAAATTAAAAATATAATATTTCGTTTAATTTTTTGGCTGCAGGGTTACATGATATGTGTGATTTTTTCTTTTTTTCATTCATAGTTTCTATATTTCTAGAGCATTACAATCCGAGTCTCTTAAGGCTTGTTAGGTTTTTCTTAAAGGGTGTAGGGAACAGTTTATGAGTCCGTGATTATATTTTTCATTACATTGTCATTTTCGTCGATTAGAGTCTGGAGCAATGAATTGCGTAAATTAGGACATAATCGACTGAAAAGGTTTACTATTATTTTGGTGAAGGAATTATAATAAAGAAGCAGTAAAAAAGATTTTGCCGTGTGGTTTCGGCATTGTTGTGTGGTTCTGGTGTAGAATTGCAGTGCCCTACCTTTCCCGTGGGTGTCGTAAGAGGCGACTAAGGAGGGCGAGAGATGGGCAGCAGCGTCTCTCTTAACCCTTTCAGACGCAAAATTTTTTTTCTTTCAGATTAAATATATTTTCGTGTTTTGAAGCCAAGCCATCTTGCCGGCACGCACAAGACTATTGTACCACCTAACCACTAAAATGATTTCTTATTGTCTGGTTTAGAATTTCACTATCATGTTATTTCAGCTTCGTGCGTAAAAATGAATTACGCGCGGTTTTAGAATTTTTAAAGTTACAACTCACGCCCATATCGTTCAGATCTGAGTGGGTAAAACATCCTAAGGCCTAACTGCGGTTGCCAATTCGCCTGCCATGCGTGGCTTCTACTGGCAAAACTACTCTTATGGGAAAGGCTTATGTTCAACAATGGAAAGTTGACAGTTGAAATGATGATGAAAAAGTGTTTATATTTTTAATTCATAGATTCTAATATATTATCAGTTTAAAAAACATTGTATGAGCAGCAATGATCGTTGTGTGTACCTACGAGCTATATTATACGAAAATAGATTAGTCCTATATTTTGTGAGAGCAATCAAAAGTCAGTTATTTAAAATAACACTATTATGCGTCCGGCGCGGCAAGTCAGTAGCTCTGCAACGAATTCTACGACAATTATACGCGGACAGGCTATGATTAAATTATGGCACTTACGCGGAGTGTTTCCTGAAAATTACATGGGATGGCTCTCCAAGGCTGCGTTGGCACGCGATGCTACTGCACGCATTTAACGTTATAATGGCGAGCGATTTTAAAACGCGACCAATGACGCATCGGTTTTAACGCGCTATTGCCTGCACATCGCGACTGCCTCACTTCGTCCATATTCTTGGTAATTACTTACTTATTCTGCGTGAATGAATGAAGCGACACTCAACTCGGTTTATATATTTTTTAAGAGGAGTCGTTTAAAATATCATCTACTAATAACCGACTTGACAAGTTTCAGTGTTCATTAAACCTTACGACTGAACATACACTAAGATGTAAAGATAAGATCAAAGATATAATTGAATAGTTAAAGTTTAACCTCATATATGATTTTACGCTGTACTTAATATTATTTCCAGAAAGATCTATGAAAATTAATGTAATAGTGAATATGATTTTTTTAGTTATACATAGAACAAATCCTTGAGGGGATTTTTTATAGAATAATTACGATTATTCAAAGTACTTTGCAATACTATGCATATATTCTTTTAATTTCATAATTATTCAATTTTTTTTTTCTTTATTTTAATAAGTCACGTCGCAGACTTTCATATATGTATAACGAATCTGTTGACCTTCACACGACAATTACCAAATTTATAATTCACTTATATTGTAATACACCTGAGCTATGTTGTTAAATGTTGACTAAATATGTAACTTTCTCTTTGTTGTTGTAGGTGTTTGTACGAATGCAACAGCACCGAGTGTGTCATCAATCAACCGGATATTGAGGAACCGTGCTGCTGAGCGAGCAGCCGCTGAGTTTGCCAGAGCAGCTGGCTACGGTCTTTATGCTGCTCCACCTCCATACGGGGCATTTCCCTGGGGCGGTGGCGGTGGAGTATGGCCGCCTGGGACATTGCCGTTGCCTCCAGGAGTTCCCACACCTGCCACTGGAGTCCCTCATCCTGATGCAGTGCAGCAAGGATTTTTAACCTCCGGTCGAGGGTTAATAGGTAAATCAATAATACATGATCTTGGATTATGTTCTTGTTTTTTGGATAATCTTACGTTTTTGGATAGCCGTAGTATAAGAGTGTGGCAATGGAGCACTTTCGTGGAAAGAATTCTTAGCAATGAGAATAGTAGTCCCTATTGCTAGAAGATATTAGTATTTGATTTAACATAAAATAATAATATTAATTGGTATGGTCCCGGCATAGAATGGGCCACCTCTTTATTTCTCTGTAAGAGGCAACTAAAGCAACTTAATGTTCGATGGATGGGCAGTAGTGTCTCTCTTAAGACATCACCAAAGCCTTACTGCGGTTGTCAACTCGCCTGCCAAGCATGGTAACTACTAGTAAATCCCCCAATAGGGGAAGGCTTATGTTCAATAGTGGCCAGTTAACAGCTGATATGATGATGAATAATATTAATGTAGATAGTTTTGTTACTATTATTTCTACTTGAAATTAAATTTTATTTAAAGCAAATATGTTTTGTTTTTATAAACAGATGTCGACGGCGATGATTCTGGCTCGCTAGATGGAGAACAACCAAAGTTTAGGCGGAATCGCACCACTTTTAGTCCAGATCAACTCGAGGAATTAGAGAAGGAATTCGAGAAATCTCATTACCCATGTGTGTCCACTCGAGAGCGGCTTGCTTCCAAAACATCATTATCGGAAGCTCGCGTCCAGGTAATCATCTAACTTGTTACTAATACTTATGAATATAACATCAAAAATCAAGATTTTTAATTTAATATCCATAATTATTATCCAATTAATAATATTATAATAATGACGTGTCTTAAAACTAGAGATGACTTAATCAAATCAAAGTTATAACTTTTACATCCATTTACATTCATGAATATTTGTAAACGCAGTGAGAACAGAATACTAATCACGTTTATTTACCGTTACTGACAGGTTTGGTTTTCTAACAGACGAGCCAAGTGGAGACGCCACCAGCGGATGAACCTCCTGAAGCGCGGTGGCGGCTCGCCCCCGCACCGCCTTCCTCATTCCCCCTCCCGCTCCCGTTCGCGTTCTTTATCCCCGGCGCGCGTCCCTTATCATACTCCTCAGATGGGCGGCGAAAATAGTGCATTCAAGGCTCTTTCACATCAAGACACGAACACATTGAAAGCCCTTTCGCAGCAAGCGCAGTTTGACAGCAATACGCTGAAAGCACTATCCCAGCAAACATTCGATGGTAGCGCTTTCAAATCTCACCCAGCTCTTGAGAATAGCGCTTTTAAAGCATTAGTTCCGCATTCAGCAGCTGCTGCGTTGCTTGCTGCTCAGTCGATACAGTTAGCTCGAGGGTATGAGTCCCACTCGGATTCTGACGAAGAAATAAATGTTCACGACGAAAGCGACAATGAGAGCGAAAAGCAGAAAAACAAAGAAAGGTCGAGATCTGTGAGTCCTAATGCGACACGACAGCGGCCCGCGGTCAGTGACTTGCCCCTACAGCTCACTAAACACGATCGTTGATGTAGATTAATGTTTACTTATTTATTTCCTTAAAGTATTACAATTAATATCATTCCTATTGAATGTCCATGTTCCGAATAATTATGTAAATTTCAACTCTAGAGTGCTAATACTCCAGTTTGTTTGTAAATTAATGTAAATACGTAGCTGGTTAAGTTGTTAATTAATGCAAAGAAGATGGATGGCTAATAAATTTAAATAAGCACAAAATAGTTCTGATTTATTTGTATTGTACGACTAAATATCCGAATTAAACGTATTATACCTTTAATTAAATATTAGTTTTAATTGTCGCTAATTCGGATATTTTTGTTCTATACCAATTATACAGAAAACTCCATTCCGTTATTGCTATGTACATAAAATCAATTAAATTAATATTATTGTGTAATAAATATATGTAAAATAAATTACACCGATTAGTTCAATTTTCAATAATTTGTAAAATGCCAAAGTGTTATGATTTACAAATAGAAAAGCACGGTTTCAGGAAATGAGAGTTCCTAATCCTTTTCTTAGTGACATTATACACATACCAATACATATCTACCTATCGAAAATATTAATGTGTTACATTTGAAACTATATTGGATTATAAGATAGGCAAGAACTGGACTATTGTATGATTGTGATGTTTATGTACATACATATTTAAAAATACTGGGCACTGTATACTATTTATTGATTAGATAAATGTAATTTAACTGTAAAATGCAATAAGAACATAAGAATCTATTACGGAAAATAAAAAAAGGATATCAGAATTTTTTATTGTTTTATTTCTGATTGCACAAAATAATTTGTAGAATTAAATTATAAAACGAAGATAGACATGACAAATAAGCATACATACTTTGAGGGGAACAATAAAGAGATTTTCATTCATTCATACATACATCCTACTACCTGATGGATAGTAATGACATGAAATCATCATTATGGATATTACAGTCTATCCATACAATTAGCACAGTTTATCCATATAATTAGTATTATTACAGTCTATCAATCTAAACCAGTGCTCGTATTATAAATGTGATTGCGAGTCTGTTTGTGTGTTATTTCTTAGCGTGTTAACTGCTTAACCAATCACTATGAAATTTGGTAAACACGTACTATATTGGATAGAGAAAGACAGCCTATTTTTAATCTCGATTAGTGAACATATTTCAATCACGCAGACGAAGCTGTGGGTAAACACTAGTACTATATAAATTAGTCGTACATTTAAACCAATTATTAACTTCACAAGCTACCTAGATATTTTGTATTATGAGGAACCAATAAATGAATATTGAGGGTACATTCCAGAATGCCCAATTTAGAAAAGTTCGTCCCTTAAATTGGCTAAGCTGAAAAGTGAACCTGTGATCTCGTTTATATAAATTAACATGTTTCCTACTGCATCACAGATATTGGATACAATACTGCTTATATAAATATGAAACTTCGTCATGTTTGGATGTATGTTATTCAATCACGCTTGAACGGTTTGATAGATTTAAATAAAATTTAGTGCACAAAATAAATCAGAGCATAGTTTAATTATTACGGTAGATAATGAGCATGAGATTTTTATGGAACTATTTGTAATGCGGAAGTGTAGTTACACGGTAGTCAAATAATAAATATCATCAATAAATACAATAAAATCAGACGGTGACAGCAGATGGCGTGTTTGGAGAGGTGGAATAAAGAGAATAGTGATTTGGTTTAAGCTGACCTAATTGAGTTTCGTTATACTAGTGAACAGAAACAGTATTTAAACAATATCGGTATTAGTAAATCAGTGTTAAACGAGTTGTCCAATTTTAAGTAATTTCAGATGATTATATACAGAAAGGGTAAGTTCACACATTTACAAATTCATACACCTAATTAACGGTTACATGGAACACATAATATCACAGTTAGAGTTCGGGCATACGAGAGAGGTTTTGTCTGTTGAGTGAGTGAGAGTGTGTAAAGTATGTGGCTTACAAGATTGTATGCGTTTTGTATCGTAGTACACAATTATATGGTGATTATGATAGACAAAAATATAGGCAGAGAGTTGTAGATACTTATAATCATCTGTGTAAGTCTTTATTTTAGGAATACTTAGGAAATAAATTATTAAATGAAAAAGTGCTAATAAAATAAAATCTAATATTTTTAATATTTCGATACCCCGTCATTTTTTAATAAATTTAAATGGAATTTGGTATATTATGGTTCTTCTGAAATTATAACATACTGGATTAATTAATACATAGATTATTTTTACCGTATTTTATGGTGGCGAAAGAAATAATTTATGTAAACTGCCTATTCTTAATATTTATCCTAAAGAAAAAATGATGATAAGGAAACAAAAATATAAAAAATAAAAATATAGAGTATACATAGGCGATAGTTTGTAATTTATTGTTTTCACATTCTAGATTCTAATGTGGAATCCTAGATAGAAGTGTTGTATTTGCATTTAAATAACCGAAATTAATAATTGGAACTTGATAAATATTTATTTAAATATTTACCATTTATCAAATTCCAATTAATCCAGATTAAGGTATAATGAATACGAATTAATTTAAACTATTATATAAGCCTTCAAAAAGAAAATCATTATACGCTTTCACATAATTTATTTAGATAACAAATTAGAAATTTAAGATATTAAACCTAATTAATAATTTTATTACAAGCATAAATAATAATGAAATACTACTATTCTGACAAGTGGAATATAATATTATTATAATAAAATATTTCACTGCGTTAAGCCAATATAATAAAACATTCAGATTTATTAAAATAAGAAATTGGAAAGAGATCTAACACATATGTTTATTGCATATTCTAAAAGTACTGTTACATCAAAATCAATTAAATTTACCAGAAAACTACTTGTAATTGCAAAATTATTGTTGCATGAGATGTTGTTCATTTAGTGTATAATTTTTTTTAATATGCGATTAATATAACCTTAGCTTTTACCTTCGCCCACGAGACTCACTAGACAATATAATAAAATTATAGAAAAATATATGTCGCTCTGTGGTTCCGGCATAGAATAGGCCACCCCTTCCTTCTCTGTAGGTGTCGTAAGAGGCGACTAAAGGAATGTCATGGTAGAGGGATGAGTAGCAGCGTCCCTCTTAAAACATCTCTAAAGGCCTAACTGTGGTTACCAACTTGCTAGCCAAGCGTAGCAACTACTGGCAAAACTCTCTTTATAGGGAAGGATTATGTTCAACAGTGGGAAATACATGGCTGATGATGATCGAAAAATATAATAAAATGCATTTTACTTAAATACTGGTATTGAAATTATACATTCAGGATATATTACTGAAGATTTATATGAAGATTTGCTGTCACAAAAACGAAAAGGATATCCACCAATTAACTCCTTCAGCTGAGTTAAAGTAATTCATATCTCGTCTGTTTTACAAGCGTATCATGCGAAACAATTATCCTTTTTTCCCTTTGTTATTAAATAAAGTCAATTCAGTCCTTCCCGGATATCGGTAATCAGCCAAGTGAAAGCCATTCAGAGCCGCAACAAAAAGCATGATTGGGGAACAAAGCTTCATTACCAGATCTTTAAATGTTATTCTTTGATTTAATTGTGCATGACAGTGGTTGTATTTAGTATTCCCAAAAATGGAATTTGTTTAAATTTCTACTGTTATTATAAACATGTACATATTACCAGTCGGTTACCTTTTTAAAATACTTCAAGAGGATCTCAGTTCGCGTATTCAAAAACGATTTTGATAATACTTTTTTCGATCTTTTTTTTACGGAGTATAATTTAAAATGTTTTGTTTTTAAACTGTTTCTTATTTTAAACTGGGTAAAGAGATTACTACATATATTTTTTAATATTAAATTTTTTTAGTAAGTTGTTCATTATATTTACCAAATTTTCTATGATGGTTACTACTCGAAATTACTGATATTCCTATCTTAAGTTGTGATTTGTATTGTTAAATTGTTATATTTTTTAGGTATCGGCCATGTTTATTTACGCGATCAGTTAAGACTTAGGGTAAAGAACATCAATATTTGACCCTCGTATTACTGGTGACAAAACTAATTGATTAAGGGTTACGCATTGTGATAAAGAGATTTTATGTTGTCTTTATCCTGGACTTTGTTAGAGTTACTGGTCCTAAAAAGAATAAAAGATATGATATTGAAGTTACAATGTACCTTATAATAATATTGTTAATTATTGAAGTCTTCTGATACAGTTTAAAGGTTGATTTAAATTGCTAAATTTTAAAGCACAAGTTTTTATTTTAAGCAACTTAGGATGGTAAACAATGATCACCTAAAGACATGAATAGTATCATGGATATAACAGAGTATACTGTGTCTTCATGCGTTGTCTTGAAGACAATACATGAAGACACAGCTATTATTACAGAAGCTATTATTTTTTTTAATGGCTGATAATGGGATGGTAACCCCGCCTGCGCTATTGGTATACACCGGCGGGGCATCAGTGAGTGATAATAAGTGAAAATGAAATAGCAGGTCAATCAGCCCATCATGATAAATACGCCTGGAATTCAGCACGAGTTTCCAGGGGGACCACGTGGAGGTCGACCTGACGGGGTATATTGCTAGCAATGGGACTGGTAGTCCGCATTACTAACAGTCTCTCCCCTCCCCCCAAACTAAGTTATTATGCCTCTGTACCCTGTAATTTCATTGTCATATTCCACCCTTTAAGTCCAAACACAGCCATGTAACCACAATTGTTTCATGACAACAAACACGAATAGGACAAAAGTGTCGAAGCAAACAGCAATTGTACAAAATGTTCCTCTGGTAGAAGTAAGAATAAATAACATATACTAAATAAAAATACAGAGGTTTAGTTTGCGATTTCATTAAATCATAATGGAACTTTTTAGCGACTATTGATTTAAGTTCTCACCACATCTTATATATCAATAATAATAATAAATAAATAATCCTATTAATAAAATAAAGTTTTAAATGCCAAAATATTTCGCATATAAATTTTGCATAAAATAATTTATAATGCATTCGGATTTAAATAATCATTAACACAGTTAATTTATATGCGATATGTATATCAATCAATTAGCAGGCAAATATATGTTTATCAATATATTGTGTTACACTTTGGACATATTGATTTAATTAAATACTTTGTATTAAGATTATAGCCATTATAGGAAGGTAAATACGGATATTTTAATAAATTAAATTACAAAAGTGATGCAGAAAAATCACTAAACAACAACGTTTTTTTAGAAATTTAGAAAAAGAAAAAAGAGTATTATCATTTTTAATGTCTTTAGAAATGTTATTACTTAAAATAATAAGTCTGATGTGGAATAGAAATGGAAAAAAACTTAGTATTGTAACTTACAGACATAAAACATAGTACCTTTTCTGAAGCTTTGTTTAAATTTATCATTTAAATTATTATCAATTAATTTATTTTACCAATGGGAGATTTTATACAAAAGTCATTTGCTTGGGTACCTCTGTCCCATTCGTGTTTCAACCGTAAAGCAGTTGTGTTTGCATGGCTGTGTTTCAGTTTGAAGGGTGGGATATGGCGTGAATTTACAGGGTACAGAGGAATAACATTGGAGTCCTCAGGAATGGCAACGCATGGGGGTATCATGGGCGAAACAGTTTACTCTGTTATGTCCATGGTACTGCTCATGTTACCGGCGACGGTTACCACTTTTCATCGGGCGGGCCGTCAGCTTGTTTGCCATTCAAAGTTGTA